GGCTAGATTTGAACCAGCCACCTTAGGTGTATGTGGCTGGCGCCTTAGCCACTTGAGCCACAAGTGCCGAGCCCATTTGTCTGTCTTTAGAGAGGTTCTAGAACCTCTCTAAAGAAGACAGACTAATTGCTAACAAACATGAAAAAATGCTCATCATCCCTAATTATTACTGAAATGCAAATCAAAACCACCCTGAGATACAATCTAACTCCAGTGAGAATGGCCCACATCACAAAATCTCAAAACTTCAGATGCTGGCGTGGATGTGGAATATATATACCCATCACCATTGTCTAGTTCCAGAAAATTTTCATCACTGCAAATGGAAACCACATCTTGTAAGCCTTTTAAAGCTGAAGATGGGTGTCTTTCTTCAGTTTTGAGAGATATTCTTGCATTTTTTAAAATATTTCCTTACATTTACATTCTTGGTTAACTCCTAATGCTTTTGTAAAATGAATGTTAAAAGTTCTGAATCTATTCTCTAATCTCTCATCATTTTCTTTGCTTTGTTAATCCAACTCAGTTTGATCTTCTAGCTTGCTGGTTGGTCTTTGAGTATTTTGTGACTTTCAAGCCAATGTATTGATGGTTTTATTTCCACAACAAATCCTTTCTCATCTCCAAGTATTTTTTTCTCTCTCTCTCTTCATTGATTTGCTGAGTTCTTTTTGTGTTTAAATAAACTTTTAATTTTAAAATACTTTTAGATTTATGAAAAAATTGTGAAGACAATACAAACAGCAGATAAGGTTTGCTCCACAAGCCATTTACCTATTACTAATAACTCACATTAATATGAGCAAATATTAATAATTATTAATGAAAGTCCATACTTTATTCAGATTTCCCTAGTTCTGCCTAATGTCCTCTGACTGTTCTAGAATCCCATCTGTAATACCATGTTATGTCTAATTTCATGTCTGTTTAGACTTTTCTTTGCTCTGACAGTTTCTCACTTTTCCTTGTTTTCAATGACTTTGGCAGTATTAAGGAGTTCCATCTGGTATTTTTGTTGAATGTACCTTAGTTGGTACATTTTTCTGGGAGGGGGGGACACAGAGTTTCACTTTGTCACCCTTGGCAGAGTGCCGTGGCGTCATAGCTCACAGCAACCTCAAACTCTTGGACTTAAGCAATTCTCTTGCATCAGCCTCCCAAGTAGCTGGGACTATAGGCGCCTGCTACAATGCCCAGCTGGCTCTTTTTTAGAGACAAGGTTTCACTCTGGCTCAGGCTGTTCTCAAACTTGTGAGCTCAGGCAATCCACCTGCCTTGGCCTCTCAGCATGTCAGGATTACAGGTGTGAGCCACTGCGCTTGGCCCTCACTTTTTTTTTTATCATGATTAAACTGGGGTTATATTTTTCTGGGAGGAAGGCTACACCGGCAAAATACCACTGTCATTGCTTATCAAGGGTACGTGCTATCGACAAGGCATAACTGTTGATGTTAATATTGATCATCAGCCTGGTATAGAATTTGACATGTTTCTTAACTGTAAAGTTATTATCTTCTCACCCCCATTTTCACACTTAAGGAAAGGGGAGTGAGGCTCCACATCCTTGAGAGTAGAGCATCTACATAAGTTGTTGGAATACTTCTGCACAGGAGATTTGTCTATTCTTCCCCATTTACTTATTTACTCAAGTGTTTTTTTAGCACTTCCTTACTGGCACAAGAGGCTCCAGTTTTTTGTTTTTTTTTT